ACATCTTTATTTGTAACAATCCAGTTCAGATTAATACTGACTTAATTTCAATGGTACCAAAAACATTTGCTTTTCCAAAGCATCATAGTGACTCCCCTCTTTTGTCCTATTGTCATACAAATTACATCTTTACATATTTATATCCATCACTGCAAATTTATAATTACTGCTTTACACATTTGCCTTTTAAATCATAGAGAAGAGCTATACACATAAATGACACTTATTCTTTATCTTACAATTCCCTCTACAGTTACATTTACCAGTGCTCATTACCATTTTTATGCGGATTTGAGTCACGTCTAGAGTTCTTTGATCTCCACCTGAAGTACTGTTTCTAGCTTTTTCTTGCAAGGAATGTCTACCAGTGTTAAATTTGGTCAATTTCTGTGTTCCTAGGAATGTCTTAATTCTGCCTTCATTTTTGAAGAGTTTTACTGAATCTATTTTCTCAGTTGATGATCTTCTTTCAGCACTTTGAACATGTCATCCTCTGCCTTCTGTCTCCGTAGATTTTGATAAGAATTTAACCATAAATTTTAAGGTTTCCTGGTATGTGATGAGTCTCTTCTCTCGTTTTCAAGATTCTCTGTTTGACTTTTGTGATAGGTGGGAATCCCTCTCATATTTGATTTTTTTCTCCCAAATCCCAGATAACAGCAAATCTTGACAACTCCATCCCCAGACAGTATATCCTAAATCAGTGGTGGTGAACCTATGCATGTATACCACAGCTGGCTATTTGCTATCTTTGCTTTTAAACCTTTTTTTGTTTGTTTTCTGTATACCAAGGATCAAACTCACGACATCCCACTTACCAGGCAGGTGTTTGAGCCGCTGAGCTAAACCCCCAGCTGCTTACTATCTTTGAAAGCTCTAAAAGGTTCACATTACTGTTCTAAATCCTTATACTTTTTGTTGCCCGTACTGCTACTCTAACCCAAGCCTTCGACGCCTCTCATCCAGATGAGGACATAGCCTCCCCACTGGCCCCGCGTCTCTCAGTCCTCTCAGTTCATTCTCTAACTACAATGAAGTCAGGGTAGTATTCATCAACTACAAGGTGCAATCAAAACTATGGTGAAGATTCTGGACACCGTGACATAAGCAGCTTTCCTCCATCAGAACCTTCCAGGATGCCTCCCTGCCCTTGGAGCTGGCCAACTATAGACTAAAAACAAGAGCTAAAATAAAGCTCTCCCCTTTTATAAAGTAAAATAAAATATTGCTATGTATCTTTCTCAGAATACTTCCCACCACTTCAATCATACTTATCCCGTCATTCTTGCCACTTGCTGCAGCAATTCTGGAAGTCCTCTTTCCTAAATGTCTTTAGTTGTGCTGTTAGAGCTGCCTCAGTGTCCTGACCTGATTCAAGATGTTTCCCTTTTATGGTCATTTTGACTTTGAGGAAGAGCTAGCAGTCACACAGTGCCAGATCTGGTGACTAAGGTAGATGAGGACGCACTGCCATGTTTTTATGAGCCCATCTTTGTAGGATGGCACTTTGCCGCAGCACTCACTGGATTTTTATCACACCTTGTAACGATACTCAGATGACTTCCAGAAGTACTTTGAAAAGTGACCAGGATGACCAAGCATGTGGCTCCCACGTGGAATCCCAGCACTTGGGAGGCTGAGACAGCACTTGGGATGGCTGTGAGTTTCAGGCCAGACTGGGATACATAATGAGTTTAAGGCCAACCTCAACTATATAGTGAGACTCTGTCTCAAAACACCATAAAAAATGGCCAGAATAACACAAGAATCTTCAAAGTGAGGAAGGTATTTTAAAGGGAACTAATGACAATGTGTCTTTTACCACAATATATGTATACTTTTACAAATTTAAACATTCACCATATTTTTTATTACATCCCATTTATTTGTCTCATCTACAAATAGGTTCTCCCTGGAGTCAATCTCCATTCTTCAAACACTTGCCTTTCTCACTGTTGTCCCTCCAGTGCTCAGAGTAGTGACCACCACACCAAATACCTGCTGACAGAATGGTCATACCTGTGCTCACCAGCGGACATCCTCTTTCCAAGACTTTCTACACCACGAGAGTGGGTAGGGCAGGCCCAAGCCTGTGATGGCTCCCCGCCTGCCCTCTCCTTAACAGAGTCCTGCTCTCTAGCACCCTTTGTTTTAGCTGAATTTTATCTTTTTTTTGACTCAGTAATAATTGATCATTGAGTTCATTTCCATGTTAACCAACCAGAGTATCCCACTACCCAGGACTCTTTCCACTCCACCCTCACTGGAAAACCCCACTCCCATCATCAAGGTGTTATCCAACTTCAGGCACAGGTTAAGGATCTTGAGTGGTGAAACGGAGGCCATGGGTCTTGTTCCAATGGGAGGATCACAGCACAAGAAACTCATCAAACTGAATAGATGATTCTTGTTTCTGCTTTTGAGTCAGGCAGGTAAAATATTCAATAGATTACCAGCGTGTAGTTGAGAGGTAATGCTATGGATTAGATCCAGAATTTCCGCAGAAACTCTCACGCACTCAAGAGGCAGAGCTTTCAGTTTGATCACGGGGCACAGTACTTAGCTGGGGATTCATCCACTGGTGTTCAGGAGCTGAGTGTGCCGTTAGGAGGTGGGGCCTGGCCGGAGGTGGCTCACTGGGGGTATGGGGTGCATCTCCCTTCCTGGCTCTTCCCTTCCCACTCTGCTTCCTGACACCACAGCGTGAGCTGTGTCCTCCTCCCAGGCCCTTCCACTATGCCATTTCTGTGTTTGAGCCTGCCAACCATGAACTGAAATTTCTGTAACTGTAAACCAAAATAAATCTTTCCTTAAGATGTGGATATGGGTATTGTGTCCCAAGGAAGGGAACATGATGGAAAGCAACAGTCAGGGAAGGAGGGTCCTCTCATCTTTAAGACTGCTAAGTATTAAGAATATTTTGGTTCTGTGCTCCAGGCTCCCCCAGTTGCAGGAAGTTATCTGACTCAGCCAGGAGTACAGTCTGTGCTGGAGAAGGCAGAGCCAGGGAATCAGGTCAGCTCAGCTCTTCACACACACAACAAATGAGGAACCCCCTGGGCACCTCTTCAGGGGCAGTCTGACTGGTGTTTCCATTACAAAGGACATTTGAAATAAAGGTTCCCCAGCTGGTTTCAGCACTGTGGGCTCCAAAGACCCCCAAACAGGGCATCCGGCCTAATTTCATGTTCTACCAGCTCTGATGACATCCAGGACCTATCAAGTCACAATCCACAACATTGGAAACAGACTTCACTAGCCTTGATGATCCACCAGTCTTTGTTTTAGAGGTTACAGTTCCCATTACAGCCTCAGTATCGAAGCACATCTGGCTTATGGTGTCAGGTTAGATTAGACCCTGCCCCCTTATAATAGAAATTAACATTCTTCCTTGGACAGAGGCAAAGAAGTTATACGCTGCAGCTGCCAATACAGAGTGAAAATACAAAATTAGAAAGTGGTGGTGGCAGAGGGAAAGGGATTCTCAAACATAACAGGGCCAGGCAGGCACACAGAGAGCTCTGTGAAGATTACAGTGGCAAGAGGCCCCTCAGAGCCAAGAACCAGAAGGCAGAGGAGAGGCGGCAGGTGGTTGAAGGGACAGGGTTACAGGCTTCAGAGCCACAGGCTGGTTATGACCATGGGTCTGTCCCTTGCTGGCTACAGGATCCGTCAGTTTTAATTATTCTGTGCCTTCACCTGTAAATTGGGCTCAGTGCTGCCAGGGGACTGTCAGGTGGACCAAATGAGACGCTATGTGAAGAGCACCTGCATAGAGCAGGTAATGAACAGGTATCACACCTGAGGCAGTTCAGGGTCCTCTTGTCTGCTGAAGACAGAGGCAGGCTAGGGACACAGGACCTGCTGGGCAACCCCAACCTGGCACTGAAGAAGGGTGGGGTACACCTGGACTGCATCCTCCTCCACATATCCTCAGCTTCCTGAGTCCCCCAGACACAGATCTGAGTGTGCCTGCTGGTGTCAGGCCTGGGAAATCACAACCTGTGCACCACTCCTTTGGTCCCAGGTTGGGAGAAACAAGGCCTCAAGCATCTTCCAGTGCACTTTAATCAAAATTCCATCATTGGAAGAGTTCTTGTGGCACACAATGTCAAGATGGACATGTCAACTTGGTCCTACAAATGGAATTTCCACAAATTCGCACTTCAAACAGGTATGAAAAATAAAATATATAATATTTAGCTTTATAAATTTCCCCACTTAATCACATTCTCTTTAAAATAAATTACTATATATTAAGCATCCTGGAGTCACTGAGCAAACATCAGCTAAATGACATCCATTTTCTTAAAAATTATTTGGGGAAACAATCGATGGGGTCAGGTGCTTACAGGAACTGACATGGATTAAAAATGGACACGTTCCTCACAGTGGGCAAAATGTAAAATATGGGAGCCTTCTAACATCTGCTTTTCTCTGATGTGGAAAAATAAGCCCCCAGGCCACACTGAATGGTTGTAGAAGCTGTACATGAACTTTTGGCACCAGTGAGTGATTCTGTCCAAGCACGGGTCTGAGGAAGCAGGCAGAGGGGCAGAGGACAGCTGTTGTAGCTCTTCTCCATCTGGGCCCCTCTCAGGAGCCAGCACTTCCTGCACCCCCACTGGCTTTGGGAAACACAGGGTTTGTCTGGGCATCTAGCCCACCACCGGCTACACTTCACAGCAACAGACTCAACGCACAGGAAACAGGGGGATGGGGTGACTGCTTTTGCTGCGTGCTCAGCTGACAGCAGGGATGCACTCTACACACCAGGGACACACAGAAGGTGCACACAGGGTACCAGGCATCCAGGAGGACGGGCAGGACTAGGCTGTGCTATCATTTACAGGGGTCTGGAGCGGGGCTGTGGACATCAACCCTGGCAGGAAGTCAGCTGTTAGCCCACTTGTGGTTTGGGGCTTCTACCCAGGGGATTCTGTCACTACCCCCGTAAAACCAAAATTTTGGGAAGGAACAAATAAGCCAGTGACAAATGATAACACATAGAAATTCTTAGACATTCCCTGGGAATGGGCTTTGGGGTCCCACTCACTGGGGCAAGAGGTTTAACAGAGTCCAGCTGGGGAGTAAGTGGTTCTGATATCCCCATAGAGACAGCCTGGTCCTGGCCTCCTAGACGGAGAAGGTGGTTACAAGTCCAGAAGGCGCTCCTCACACGTCTCCACCGGCCACTTGGAAGCCCCTCCAAACACATCCACATTGTTGTCTACCCAGGGGATGATGTTGCCTGCCATGTTTAAGGAGCAGTTGGCGATGTTGCTAATTTCCTGCGGGCGAAGGACACGGTCCCAGATGTTGAACTGGCTGAGCTCTCCCACGAACGCCTGTGTGGCATCAAATCTGCCCCCGACAGTGTCCTAGAAAATAGTGACAGGACATCCACCATCAGGCCAAGTTTACACACACACACACACACACACACACACACACACAGGCTTATTCTCCAGGAAGATGGGGGATGAGGCTTCAACATTTCTCTGACTTCCCTATTCTGACCAGGATTCTATAGATTGAGTCCATGATGTATCAGGTGTGCAAAACACCTCAAATCACTCATTTTATACAAGGGAAACTGAAGCCAGATTGGGGAACACATGTCCAAAACTAGAACAACAGCTGTGTCTCCTAACTTTGAGTCACTCTGGGTAGTAGTAATAAGAAGACAGAGGAGGGGAACGGGCTAGGAAGGGACCAGACTCCAAGCTCCCCAAAGCACTTATAATCCTTAAACTTCAATTACAAGATTTTGTTCTGCTCACCTACATGGTACATTTCCTGGGGACAGTTCCAGGCCTTCCTGTCTCCTCTCTGCACCCCCACATACTGAGCACCTGGAATTTCCTAAGGGTCCCCTTGCTGGACATCAGGGACAGGACCCCTAGTATCTCCCAGAGGATACCAGCCCCATCATCCCAACTCACTTCCTCCCAGGCAAAGGCAAACCCAGTAGAGACCTGCAGGGTCACCAAGTTGCTCTCTGCAACCTCAGCCTCAGAACAAACCTGGAACCTGAGTGACAAGATGACCACAGGGGCACTGCTACCTCTCCACATCAGATGTGATTTTGGAATCTGCCTGACCCCACCACTCCAGCCTGGTCCCTGCTGGTGCTGGCTGTGTCCCCAGAGTGTCCTTAGCCCATGAGACAGCATGGGTTGTGCCTACTGGGTAGCTGTCACGTCACAGTGGCTAGTCCCTTGGAGGGTACCCACCTGCTCCTGTCCAAGGATCAGCACCCCTCCTGACTTGATGGGGTGCCAGGGTGCCAGGTTCTCCCCAGTGCCAAGCTTCTCTCCATCCTGGAAAGCCTCCCACAGGCCATCCCGTGTCGTCCAGGTGATGCAGATATGGTGCCATTTGCCATCACTGACAAACAGGGGCAGCTGTGCAACCTGTGGGTGGCCACATGCAGGTGAGGATGTGCCTAAGACCCCTGGTGCTTGAAGTAGAAAGCCAGCCACAAGTCCCAAGGCCACTGTGTCTCCAGGGCTCCCCTTCTCTGCTCTGTGGGTGACACTCAAGAGTAGGCAGCCTTGGCATGAGCCCCTTGAGTGAACTAGACACAGCAGGCTTGGCTGAGGACTGAGCAGATATGAGGGGTGACCCTCCCTGGTTGTCCCTGAGCTATATGCACAGAACCTGAAGTCAGGATTCTCCTGCACCTGCTTCCTTGGTGAACAGAGTGCAGATCTTCTCAGACTCAAATGTCCCTGAGTGATGAGGTGTGCATGTCACCTGCCTGGGCAGAGGACTGCAGGGTGTCAGTGTGAAGAGCCAGGCAGATATACATAGCGGGCACAAAGAACTGCAGGTAGGCTGGGCAGCTTGGGCCAGTTGTTACTGCTGGTCTCCTAGCAACCCAAAGCCTCCCTCCAGGAATTAGATGTTTACAAGAGGTCTCAACGGAGAGGAAAACAAGACTCTCAGTCCTACTGTGTTATTTAGAACAATTAAGCCTCAGCAGGCTCCACAGCGCTTGTAATTTAAACAAACTCTACCCAAGGCAGGGCACAGAAGTTCCCAGAGAGAGGGAGGCAGGGATGTAACCCCCACCTACTAACCCTAGCCCACCCCCACTCCTTGGAGGTTAGGGCAGCCAGGGAGTTGGGGCACCCATTCAATCCTCGAATCCAGTCAGGTGGACACAAGGTTATGCTTTTGCTCTGTTTAGTTGACTTTGGAAGGAAAGTTTTGAAATGAGGGCTGCCGGAGGTTCTGGAAGGCCCACTGCTGATCTTTTGGGGAGACCATATTCCTGGGTGCTTACCAAAAAGGATTATATTCTCTGGAAAAAGCAAGACGAGATTCAAAGAACAGGCCTGCAGTGACCATAGGCTGGGGCAGGGACTATTAGAAGCCAGGGTGGGAATCTAACATGAGGGAATTTGGGGTGGGAGAAGGTGGCCCTGTTTTCTATTTTTATTGTTATGCTGTTACTCAGTTGCATGTATTTGTTGAAACTGACTGCAATGTGTATTGAAGGGGTGAATCTCACTATGTAAATTGTATCTGTATAAACCCAATTTCTCAAAAAAAGATGTGCCCAGCCCCTGCACACAGAGACCTGCTCTCTGCTCCTCCCTTCCTTTGCTGCCTCCAGGCCACTCACAGACTAGAGCGCCATAAACTATCACGCTCCCATCCCCTGCCCCTGTGCCAGCACCTCAGAGTGAGACCAACTCAGCACACAGCACTCTCCTTGCTGTGGAGGGAACGCTATTTCCTGTAGCCCCTGTTCTGTGGCTGCAATTGTTGGGCTGTATTACAGGCTGGCCAGGGGCAGATCTCCCCCTCCCCAGATGTCCATTTCCCACGGTGCCCAGGCCTGCACCAAGTGGCCTCACCTTGTCATTGATGAGCAGCTCGATGGGGTTGTTACCCCACTCTATCAGCACAATCTCATTAGCCTGCCCAGGTACGGCATAGGAGAATGGGGTGCCAATGCCTGGTGAGGCGCTGGACCGCAGCCACAGGCAGATGGTGAAGGAATATAGTTCTGGCAGCGTCTTCTTGATCTTGCCATATAGGTAGTTGGTGCGGAAGGGGAGGGACACTTTGAATGCATCTGGAGACTTAAATGCACTGTTGCCTGGATGGAGAGAAAAGAAGCCACAGCTTGTTAGGCCACCCCACCCCCAGTGTGTCCCACTCGCACCCCACACTCAGTCCCTTGTGGGGCTGGGGATTTAGCTCAGCGGCATAGGTGCCTGCCTTGCAAGCCTGTGGTCGTGAGTTCGATCTCTGGTACCAGTAAAAATACAAAAAAAAAAAAAAAAAAAAAAAAGAAAGAAAGATAGTCCCTTGTGCAACTGGGCCCATCGCCTGCCGACTGCTATTTAAAGTGCTAAAGTCCAGCAGCCCAAGAGATAGTCTTTGCCTTCAGGAGGCTAACAGCCTGGCAGGGAGGGATACAGGAAACCAGCAGCAGGTGATGGGTAGAAGGCAAGGAAGGGACTCTGCTGGGAGGGCAGGGCCCTGCAGGAAGGGAGAGAGATGGCTTGTAGCAGAGAAAGGACTGTAGATGACATCTCTGTGAAGAGGTATCAGGAAGTCTGAGATCCTAAGGAAGACTGGGTAAGAAAATAGGGAAAGGATTGTTGCCCGGATAATCACGTGATGTGTTAGAGATTACGGATTCATTTTTGTGGTAGTAGCGATTGAACCCAGCAGTGGTTTATCACTGTACTACAGGTCCTTTCCTTTCTAAAATTTTTATTTTGAGGTAGTGTCTCCTTAAATTGCCCAGATTAGGCTCAAACTTCAGAGTGATGAGACTACAGGCATATGCTTATTTTGAAACAGGGTCTTGCTAAATTGTAAAACTGCCCAGGTTGGACTCAAACTTGCAATCTTTCTGCTTCAGCCTCCTAAGTAGTAGGATTTCAGGTATGGACCATCATGTCTGACACTAGTTCAACAGAAAAAGAGGCTTCCTAAATTCAGTAGGAAAAATCTCTGGTCCTTTCTACTTAGTACTTCCTATTTTTATAGTTTTTTTTTTTTGTACCAGTGATCAAACTCATGGCCTTGCGCTTGCCAGGCAGGCGCTTATGCCACTGAGCTAAATCCTCAGCAGTACTCCCTATTTTTGATGATAGAAAGACTGAGGAAGTTGGGTACAGATAAATTTGACTTTCTTGTTTCACTAAGCCAGAAAAATCTTTCCTCAGAACTTGCCTTGAGTTCTCAGCCTCTTCGTGAGGAAGCAGGGCCTAGAATCCATAGCACATAACCTTGGAGAGGGAAAGTCTCCCAGGGACCCAGGTACTTGGCAAACATTTAGCAAGGGAGTAAGACCATGTCACTCTGTCATACTGAACCGCCACCACTGAGGCAAAAAGTTGGGCTCCAGGTCCTGATTCTATTAATAACTTAGAAGAGGCTGTCTAAATACCTTCTTTCTTTTTACTCCATTTGCCCTTTCCTCCCCAAGAGGAATTGCTTCCTGGTAATCTCCTGTAGTCCCAAACCAGGGGAAGGCACACAAATGCACAGGTATTCACCCCACTCAGGTGAACACACCTGCTTCCAGAACTTTCTGGGACCAGTAAAGATGTTGCTCCCTCCCCCCAGCCACCCCTGTGTACACACCACTTTCCAAATCCTGGACAATAAACTCTGAAGTGGATTTAAGTAACTTTCAGTGTAGTCTCAGTTTAAGTTCAAAAGTACTTTACCAACTCCAGTCCCTGTTATTACAGAGACCAAAGTTTGCAGGAAAACACTGATTCTGTGACCTGTCATGGCCAAAGTTTTCCTCTTAGTTAGGAAGCAGATCCTGCAAGGAAAGGCACCTAAACACCCTTCACTCGTTAACAAGCACTCACAGGGGCCAGATGGCTGGATAACCTTTTCCACCATAATCCTCCAATTGTGGTTTTCATCAGGGTAAATCCTTTGGAGCTAGGGCTCATGTCTACCTGAGGAGAGTTTTCTGGATAGAACAACAAACCCAGAATCACCCTTCTAGCCTCTCTGGAGCAGGCAAGGTGTCACTGATACCAGAAATTGGGCTTCTCAGCAAGTACACGCTTTGCCTAAGATTGTGCAGCTTCCTAACCTCCTACAGTAGCTGTGTCACAGAGCATCTGCCAAGGGCTAGAAAAATCCGGGCACCCAGAAAGTGGGGAGGCCTTGCCAAAGTAAGGGCAGGGGCTAGCCCTTCAAAAGGCTGAAGACAAAAAAAGGAAAAAAAAAGAGAGAAACAGCCTCCACCCGCCAGTTTTTGCAGGTTACAAAGTTGAAATACTAAGATGGAAAGAAGTGAGATGACTTATCCGAGGTCACATGCTAGTAAATCACAGAGCAGGGACTGAAAGTCCCTCTTCCCACTAAGGGGGAGCCACAAGTACTTAATCTTCAAGTGGCAAATGGCATGTTCTTAATGAAAGCATCATTATCTAATAAAGAGAAATGGCTTCTATGCTTGCAGGTGGGCAGGCTTTCCAATTTAATAAGACTCAGTATCAGTAATATAGTTAGCCTGGTGACAACACATAGATTTAATTAGAGCTGGGAGAGCCAAGGGGCAGAAGAGGGGGTCCACACCCTGAAAGCTGGTGCCCTTTATTTGAATAAGACAGCTTGGAGGTTCAGAGGAAACTTAGTTAAAACCAATTACGGAATTAAAAAGCCTGACCAATAAATCAGAAACTGCAGGTGGTGGACAAACCCAAGGAGGGGGGCAGGCAGCTAGAGGATACAGGGAGGAGGCGCTGGTCTGCTCAGTGCTAAGGCTGCTTTCAACACTGAGCAGGGCTGCGCCTGGCCAGCTGGCCCAGCATCTGGAGGCCCCTGCGAATGAGCAGGTCTCATAACAAAGGAAAATGGGCATCTTGGGGAGCCAGGGGGGAAGAGTATCCACATGTGGCAGCTGGATGCTGCCTGCTGGGCTCAGAGTAGCCTCTTGTCCAGCAGGGCAGGAGCCTTCACTCTTCCTCCAGAGTCACCATCCCCAATCCCAGTTCTGAGAGAATGCAGACATCACTTGGCTGTGACTTCAGTCCTTGATCTGTAGCTAGTACCTGTCCCAACAAGTGGCCCACATACACCTTGGCCTCTCTCCTCAAAGGACATTTATCTGGCTGAGAAGGGAGAAATTTTCTTACCCGTGAAATGGGTACTCCCATTGGGAAATCGGACCTTCCAGGAGTGAAGGACACTGTCAGGTACTACTCCACTAACCCATCCTAGCAGCTGGGCCACTGCACCAAGCAAGGCACTCAGCCCTCAAGGTCTCTGGCAAAGTAGTCCTCTGGCTCTACAGCCATGTCTTCCAGGGCACAAAATAACCACAGAGGGCCTGTTCCATGGCCCAAATGCTCAAGGACACACCATGGCCATGCTGGGTGGAGGGACCCACACTCACCTGTGGCCGCATGCTGCCCTCCCCTCCCACCAGGTGAGAACAGCCTCAGCTGCAGCTCCTCTGCCTTTGGGGAAGGCTCTGAGACCTAATGAGTCCCCTGATGTCACCTAGCAGCAGAAGGCAGGCAGAGAGGAAACAGTTCTGGAAACTTGAGAATGTAAATCAGGCAGATTAGCCACAGCACCTTTTTCTGGGATGTGCAGGGAAGAAAGGATAGACCTTACTGCAGGAAGAGAAAGGAAAGGGATGAAGGAGACCTGTGCCTCATGGAACAGTAACCCAGTCCCTTTTCCATCTGGCCCTCCTGGTCAATGCTATTCAAAGAATTACTGAACATTCTGCTGCTGGACATTCTCCTAGCAATTCAAAAAAACTGAGTAATCAGAAACTGCCTGTGTCAGGTGAATACACCTGAGATGAGTCTTACACCCACTCCCAGCAAACTTAAAATTATATATTCAGGCCACCCAGCATTTTGGGGGCTGGCAATACAATGTAAATTATCTAGGGCCCTTCATCTCTCCTTTTCTGACTTTTGTGGGAGAACATTACCTACCTTAGTGTAGGAGGGAAGAAAAAGATACACAGAAACTGCTACAAGGATGAGTTAAGAAGGTACTGAAATGTCCACATACGAGAAAGCCGGAGATAGGCTGTTTGTCCAAGATGGTCCTGAGGTCATTTGGTTTCCCAAGGGCAATGCCAGTGGGGCTGGGACTAATTTCAGACATGACCACTGTCAGTCATTTTTCTTACTGCACGAACATCTATGACCACTCTGCTGCCCCTACACTGAAATCTTGAGACAGACCACAGGGATGGAAATCAGGCCACTCTTAAGACAGACAAGCACAGCACAGTGTACCTCGCTCCAGTTCAGTCACCCTCTGCAGCAGTGCATTCAGGGTGTTCTCAGTCTTTTGCTGGTGAGCGGAAGTTTCATTGTGGAGCAGGGACTTCTCATCTTCAAGCTCCGCCACTTTGCGCAGCAGCTGCCTCTCCAGCTCCCCAAGCCGCCGCTGGAGCACCTCTCTAAAGTCACTGGGCAGCCCCGTGTTGGATGCATTGGTGCGGAGCTGAAGCTTTCAATTGGAAAAGGGGGTGCAAGAGGGAGAAAAATATTCAGGCCGATGGAGCAGAAATTGTGACGTACCTCCAATGACCTGACCACAGGGAAAAGCTTCCAAAAGCTCTATTAAGTCATATCAATGGCTCAAAAGACTCCTGATGAGCCTTTTTCTTTTTCTTTCTTTTTTCTTTTTTGGTAGGGAAAGAATTTCAAAGTCAGACAAGAATTACTTTGCTGCAGTATTTGAAACTTGTGAATCTCATTTTCCTTCTCCTAAAAAAAAGCTGTTTTTCTTCTCCCCCTAAAAAGTCACCCATAAAATATGGGTGTTAAACTAACACCCATAATTCTGTGTCAGGTAAAGACTAAAATATAGAGAAGATTTTTTTTTCTTACAGAGTTAGTGATACTCAAAGCTGGTGTGCTTTCATCTAAAAATGAAAACAGCCTCCAAGTTCCAGAATGACATAAAGGTAATAACTATGCTTGCAGAGATACCACTGAAAAATGATAGGCATAAAATACCAGGAGTCTAAATTCCAGAAATCTTTGTTTTTATGCTCTTCCTAAATCCTCACTTTCTGTTTCTCTTACATCTTTGTCATCAGCTTGTTGCTGCCTAAACCATGAGCCCTTGGCAAGCTCTTTACCTCATTCTGTGTCCAATTGCTCCAAATCATGAATTGCAGAAAATAGAACCCACCTCACACTGTTCACCGTTACAGGAGTTAATATTAAATAATATGCCTGACTCACATTCAGTATTCAAGAAATGTTAGCTGTTAGTAATCATAATGACTCATGGGATGTACAGACGCTGGAAATACTGTATTTAGCTCTCACGCCAAAAGAAGCCCTCCAACAATTTAGCAATAATTACCACCTGTAATTCAAATCTTGCCTTGCTAATAGGTATTTTGATACATCCTATTAACAGAAATGTCCACACTTCTTAAATAGGAGGGAAAGTAAAGAGGAAAATTAATTGAACATTTGCTTTCAAAGTTCCAAACTGCACACATCTTTCAGGGAGAGAAGGTAACAAGATCCCTTCCCAAAGCAATCCAGAAGGGCACTGTAAAACAGTCCAACTCAGTAGACAAACACCCCAAAAGTCAACAGGTTTACTTAGATGTGCTTTTTGGGGGTCGCTGGCGACCCCGCTGCTCTTTTTTCAGCGCCCCTCCTCCCGCCCTCACCTCCTCAGGTCCAGCCCAACTCGATTTGAAAAGAAAACACCAGATGCCCAGGGCACCTAACCTCCCGCAGAAACCCTGCAGCCCAGCTCGTGGCACAGCTAGTCAGAGCGCTTCCTGGCTCGTGGACCTTTTCAGGGAAAGGAAAGCGGGTGTCTCATCCCCAGATATTTCGCGCCTGGCCCGGCCATCTGGGCTCACTAGCCAGGACCTCCTCAAGTTCAAGGTGGGTTCGGTGCGCACCGGGAAAGGGACAGGACAGGAGGTTAACCCTTTCGGTTTCCAACAAGGAGATAAAGAAGGGTGGGAGAAAGAGATGCCACGCAAGCAAGGTCCAGAGTAAGACCAAGACCCTCCCCTTGCACCCCAAATTTAGCTAATCTCGCGGACGAGCCCCAAGTACCCGCTCCTCTCCCGAATCCTCCACCCCACAAGCCCGGGGTGTCACCCTCTAGATTCCCCGCGCGCTGCTACCTCCAGGCTCTCCAGACGGTCCTTGAGAACCTGCAGCGAGCGGCTGAGTTGCTCCACGACTCGGGAAGGGTCCCGCGGCAGGTCGCCCATGGTGTCCTTGCTCGACTCCGCCTTCCCGGCCATCAGCCCCTCGCAGCGCGCCAGCTTGCTCGTGAGCTCGCGAATAGCCTCGCGCTGGGCGCCCAACGTCTCCTTCTGCATAACGACGGTCTCACGCAGCTGCAGCACGGCGGCCCGCAGCTCCTCCTCGGGGCTCAGCGAGACGCCCTGCATGGGCGTCGCGGGTAGAGGGCAGCCGGCGAACAACGCCTCCGGGGGTATTGCCGAGCACACGAAGTGGCTGCCGGGCAGCGGCTTGTCCTGAGCCAGGACCACCACGGCGAACGCCACGCCGGCGGCCAATAGCGCCAACATCTTGCCGCCGCCGCCGCCGCGCTCAACTCAGTACCCGCGAACTAAAAGCCAGGCGCCGTCGGGGTACTCACCAGTGGAGTGGCCGCCTAACCCGCCGAACCAGGGCCACCCGCCGACGTACAACCCCACCCGCACGCCGCGAAACGGTCTGGCAGGTCGCACTCCGCGCGCCCTTTCTTAAGCTGAGAGGGCGGAGACTCGGCTCGTGGGGCGCGCGCCGCGAGCTCTGATTGGCTCAGCCTGGCTCACGTCACAAAGGGGCGGAACTGGGGCGCTCCTCACGGAGCGCAGGGCAGTTGGGCGGGCGCGTGGGCCGGAACCTGAGGTGGGAGGGCGAGGTCCGGGGCTCCGAGGAAGGGAGCATCGAGGCTCCCCAGCAGTTTCCTGAGGAGAGGCGGCCGGCCGGGCGCAGGCGCTCCTGGAACCCACCCGAGGATGCGGGCCTGATCGGCTGAGGAGTAGCCTCGAGGCTCGAGGCGCCCACGAGCGGCTACGGGCTTCCGGCGCGGCGCGAAAAACCCTGAAAGGGAGGTTAGCCGACATCCCACAGTGGAGCCCCCTGAGGGACTCGAGGCCGGGACGTAGGCGCCAGCCGCCCCCGCGGCAGGCGTGGGCCCCTTCCCTCGCCTCTCCAGGCTGGAAGGAGCCGCCGCACGACGGCCGCCTCCAGAGCCCGACGGCCCAAGTCCCCGCCCCCACCCGGCCCGCTCCGGCTGCTTCCGCGGTCCGCGGGGCGGGACCAGGAGCCGAGGCCGTGGGACGGAGGCGACACCCGCGCTGCCGAGGGAGCCTGAATCACGGCGCTACTCAGCAGCTCTCCTGCGCGTGTCCAGCGACAGCCCTTTAGGTAGTGAACTTCCTACCCTTGTGAGGGTGTCCCGCTGGAACCACGATGTTGCCACGTCGTAAAAGTGCCCGTCCTTGTAAATGGGGGGAGGCGCACAACATCCACTTTCCAGTTGAGACCACTGCCCTTAGATTTTTGAAGAGAACAGTGCACAGAGAACCCCAGAGGGGAGAGGCAAATTTGTGCCAAAATCTTATCCGTGTCCTATTAACAAGTACAGAGGATTTTTTTTCCCCCCAGCTACAGGCTGTGCTGGCTTGCAATGCATTAAAAATGGAAATCTTTATTTTTTTTCCTCGATGTTTGTAAAGAAATCTTGTTGCTAGGTCATTAATCACGTTATCCATTTTACCAGAAACAAATGGATTTGTCACTTGCACACAGAAAGCTGAGGTTGATGCTGAAAACAAATTATATCTAAATAAATGAAATTATTATGATAATGTAAAATAGACTGCGGTGATTAATCTCTAGAAACCAAATTCTGACCTGTTTTGCACTTCAAACAATAGCTTCTGTTATGTAAATAGTTGTGAGGTTTTCAAGGACAATGTTAGCAAATTATAAGAAAAGTTCTATTCATGAAAATCTTTTCAAGGATAAAAAGTAGAGGCAGGAAACCTGTTATATACAGTGTGTGAAGCAGAAGACAATGGAAGAATGATTCAGGTAAGAATATTTATTAGTGGGAAAAAATATGGGGTGGGAGGTGGGGGTGTAATGGGTTAATGTCTCTGTTGGTCTGTATCATCAGCTTCACCTTGCAAATATGACTTTGAGTGGACTTCTTCCAGGGTCCTTTCCTGCTTGAGCTTGAAAACTCTGAAAGTTGAAATAAGCCCACATGTACCCAAATTGCAATAATGACAGCAACAAGGTTTCAAAGTACTTTATAAAATGTTACAATTTAGATGAGTCCACATCTGAAACAACTTCAGACATGTTCAGAATTATCCAGATAAGGATGTGACCTTTTACTTTCCCACTCATCAATTTACTCATACACCTAGGTAGATCTTAATTGGATGTGACCATAGATACTGTTGTTCCTATATAGCTCCATATATACTTTCTTGACACAAGACTAATAATTCATATTTTCAACTGCTTGAAATAGAGGCTTGTTCATTTAATAATTAAATAAAATCAAGTGTATTTGCAGAATTCTAATTTCCTCCTGAACAAAGAAGGTAGTGTACAAGAAGACATAAAAATAGCATATATCCCAAAATAATTACTCTTAAAAGAGATTCCAATGTGAGAAATGATCAGTGAAATTGCCAAAGCCCAGATGGAAAGAGCCAGGCACTGGAGATCTTATTTTCTCTGGAGGCAGTAAAATTAGAGGGCTTAGTTAACAGGGTAAATGCTATTGAGAATTTTATCGTTATAGTGCAGTGGAAAATCTGCTGGTTTAGGAATGAGGAGTTCAGGTCCTAAAACCAACTGACACTAGCTAAGTAGTTTTGGGCAAGGCATCTCTACTGTCTAGAGCTTAGTTTCTTTGTGTATGAAACAAGGGAATTAGGCAGACTCTTAGGAGCCCTTCTGGCTACATTCAAGAGCTTGGTGGTTTGGAAAAGAAGAGCTAGCTGTTCAGTGTGACAGAGATTTCAGAACATGTTTTTTTTCTGTGTGTGTTGAAACCACCTGTAGCCAAGGGTATATGGAAAGGCAGGGTGGTTGTGTAACACTGCAGGTAACACTGTACAAGCAGATGCTGTAGCTGTGTTTGAAACCTGCTTTCAGCAACATGGTGGCACATCCTTTACTCACAACACAAGAAAGACCCTGCATGTGTGACTCATGCTACCCATGAGAATAGTTTTGTGAGTGGCAGAGACCAGGGCCTACAAATTTTCCTCCACTTGAAAAATCGTGCAGATCTGCAGTGGTGAATCAGCACCACCTAATCCTTTAGTGTAACTGATGCTGCAGCATAGTAACCACCCACTCATTCACTATGTCTACTGGTCCCAGGTCAGCTGAGAGCTCAGTATGGACTGCAACCATGTGCTGGGAATCCTGATGAGCTCATTCCACCTCCATTTATTGCCCCATCTGTTTAGCTCCCTTGTTCTTCTCACATGCATTTTTATCTTGGTCTTCTGGGAAATGTGCTAATTTTCCCCATGGTTTCAGAAGCTCCCATCTTCTACTATTTTCTTTAAAAAACATTTCCCCTTTGCTCAGTGCCACTTGGGAAGGCAAGAATGGATGTGTGAGTTCCTTAACACAGAATCCAAGGACAGCTCCCAGGAAACATGATTTGGGAACTGTCCTCGGTGCTGAATTTCAATCAGAGAGGGAAATAGTGTGTGTGTGTGTGTGTGTGTGTGTGTGTGTGTGTGTGTGTGTGATGCAGATATAACAGGAGTTGAAGCCTTCACAGGATCCTGACTAATCTCTTTATGCACAAAGTGCTAAGACCCTTTCCAACAGCTGGATTTTTCAGTAGGCCAAACTGCCTCAAAGAATGGAAAGAGCTTTAGCTTTAAAGTCAAATAGCTCTTGTTTCAGTCTAGATTTATATCTTTATCATTTGACCTTGAAAGAATAGCTTAACATCTACCACTCTCAGTTTTCTCATCTCTCAAATTAATGCTAAATTTGCTACAAATATAGTTTACCTGCATTTGTGAAGAAGTACTGGCTGTATTGCCAATAATTTTTTGCAGTCTTAAGTGAGACAATGTATGTGAACATGTTTGGCGTATGTAAAGTACACAATAGACACCACTTGTCCTTTTCTTCCATTTTTTTCCATGGCAACTAGAACTGAATTATATATTCTATAAAAACAAAACTTTAATTTTCTTTTATTTTGTACAATATCACCAATGATTAAAGTAAAAATCTTGAGAGAGAATAGGCCAATCTCCATGGAGAAATGAGACAGTGAGAACTTCAGGAAAATTTGCTAGTGTCTCAGCAAGAGAAAGATATCCTATTCTGGATTTTTTAAAAAAGATCAAGCATGATCTTATTGAACTTTAATTAGAAATTCAGTAAATGAATATACACTAACTGTATATCACTAGTCTGTAGTATTGGCCCCAACTAAAAGATTAATAATATTGAATATTTCAGCAATTCTGGAGTTTGTATTGCTAAAAGGATCTAATAAGTATATTCTCCTAAGATAAAGCAAATTTACTTCCATCAGCATTTGGATTTATCTTGAATAACCTATTTGTGATTTAATTTGGGAGCATGTGATATGGAACACTGAGTTTCAGGAAACATCACCGCACAAAAGAATGATCACACATAGCTAGACAACCATGGTTTGGGGGATTGGTTGTTAATATTACCCAAATGATTTCATCATACAAGAAAAACTTGGTGGCATTCTTTGATTTCAAGCAATAGAATAAGTCACTAGATAAAACAGGGTAATATCTTAGTTTTTAAACGTAAAAGATGCTAAGATTGAGGTGGAAGGAGGCTGGAGTAAGGGACCTCATGAGCTTGGTTTGCTCTGAGGAAATCTCTAAGGGTGTAATTTTAATTTATCCGTATTGAGAAACACTAACATACTGCTTCCCTTTTACACTAGTTGCAAGTTGCAAAATTGGCCTAAAAGATTTGTAGCTCAATATCTCTATGTGGTTTAAACACATAAAGAGCTTGTATATATCTTTGAAAGTGAGAGAAGAGTTTTTATAGAATTTTGAAGACTAGGGAACAGTTTAAGAAAGGTTAAGTGGCCATATGACTATTTAACAGCAGGGCCAAGATGGAACTTGGGCCCTTCAGTTCCTGGTAAAGAGCCTCCTTGCTCTGTACTGTTTTTCTAAGTCACTCGTTAACCCATTAAAATGTTTTCCTTCTTCAAAAATGGCTTTCTTAAAATCAATAATTTGCTATCAATTCCAATGGTTTCTGTCATTTTCCTGAAACTCTTGAATCATTCAATATTGTTTAGTCTTTAAATTAAAATATGCCATTGTTGGTTTCTGTGTTACTATCTTCTGATTTTCTTCTTTGCTTTCTTGGCTGGCCTTCCATCCTCCTTCTTTCCCTCTCACCCTCCACTCCTCTCCTTTCTTTACTGGATCTTCTTTTACTGCCTGCCTTCGCAGTATATGTGTCCAAAGTTGAGTGGTCCATAGGTCTCTTTTTTCCCCACTACATTCTCTGCTTTAACATTGTATGTTTTTCAGTTATGTTAGTGACTATCTCTGATCTGTGCTAAGCTCCAGAGCATAATAAACCAATTACATGTGACATCTCAAGAATTCATTACCTGCTGTTTTAGCCCAATGTATACTCAACTAAT